CCCCTTCCGCGTGCCTTCTCCTTCTCCTTCTCCCTCCGGTTCCTCCCCCTCCCCACCCTCCCCCTCCCCCTTCCAGCTGCCCCTGCTTTCCGACCGCTTCTCCGACGCCCAGCTGGTCTCCATGTCGGTACGGGACCTCAACCGGCAGCTCCGCGGCTTCGGCAAGGACGAAGTGCAGCGCCTAAAGCAGAAGAGGCGCACCCTCAAGAACCGCGGCTACGCCCAGTCCTGCCGCTACAAGCGGGTGCAGCAGCGCCACGTCCTGGAGGCCGAGAAGTCCCAGCTGGCCCAGCAGCTTGAGTCCCTGCGCGTCGAGATGGCCCGGGTGGCCCACGAGAGGGATGTGTACAAGGCTCGCTGCCAGAAGCTGCTGGGGGACACCGCGGGGGGACACTACGGGGAGGGGGCGGAGCCTCCCACCCCGCAACCTACACCACTGGGACAGTTTTTTCTATAAATGGCCCGCAGCGTGCAATGGACGGCGGGAGTGGAGCGGGAGATGGTGGCCATCCGCCGTGGACAGATGAGGCGTTTCCCCCTTTCACTCCACCGGAGGGCGACATAAACCAAGGCTCCCGATAGGCTCCTCCCCCCTTTCCACTATCCAAACCTCAAGAAAGCTAGGCCAAAAAAAGCGTCACCGTGAGCACGTCCACACGACAAACACCCGTCGGTGCTATTAACCGTTTCACTGTCATGGCGGCCTCTCCAGGAATTCTGGGAACTGTAGTTTGGGTGAGGAAACGGGAAGGTTCCCTACTCCGTCACTAAGAAACAAACTCCCCATGGTTCCCGGGGGGGGGGGGGGGGAGCGGGGGTAAAACACTAGGGAGAGAGATGGGTGGCTGTGGGTGTTGGGGGTGGGGCTTCCCCCGCCGGCCATCTGGACGACGGCGGGTAGAACCCCCCCCAAAAACGGGGGACCCCTGGCAAACCGGGGGGTTTGGCAACCCTAGTCCACACTACAAACACCTGTCGGTGCTATTAACAGTTTCACTGTCATGGCTGCCTCTCCAGGAATTCTGGGCACTGTAGTTTGGGTGAGGAAACGGAGATAGAGAACTACTAGAGAACCCTACTCCGTCACTCAGAAACAAACTCCCCACGGTTCCGGGGGCTGGAGGAACGACTGTTAAGCCACTTCAAGTCTGTGGTGTGGACCTGCACGAGTTAGTTCATTTCATAAAGGCTTGATGGAAAGCCAGCTTTCTTGTCATTCTTCCTCCACACCAAACAGCAGAAACTCATTAGCATATTAGGCCACACCCTGACAGCACCGCACCGCTCATTAGCACATTAGGCTACACCCACATGTTACCAGAAGTGTGGTCATCCAGCCACACCCACCTTTCCATTCTGTTGACCTTGTTTGTTGTCAAAACCCAGGGGCTTTTTTTGTAGCAGGAACCACTTTGCATGTTAGGCCACACACCCCTAGTGTAGCCAATCCTGATGAGTTTCTGCTGTTGGGTGTGGCCTATTATGCTAATGAGTTCCTGCTGGGCGTGGCCAACTTGGGAGCCGGCCGGAACTCCGTTCCTGCGCGTTCCAGCCCGAAAATAGCCCTGGTCGTTCCCATGTTCTCCCTACAAGGCAGTTCAGTAACAGATGGGACTGGTGCTGGAATTCAGGGTTGCCAACCTCCAGGTGGTGGCTGGAGACCTCCTGGGATTCCAGCTGGTCTCCGGACCACAGAGATCAGTTCCCCTGGAGAAAATGGCTGCTTTGGAGGGCAGACTCCATGGCATTATACCCCACGGAAGTCCCTCGCCTCCCCACACCCTGCCCTCCACAGGCGCCACTCCCAAAATCTCCAGGTATTTCCCAGCACGGAGCTGGCGACCCTTGACTCAGGCCCTGTGTCCTCAAGCTCCCGACTTAGGCCGAGGCACAAAACTGGCATCTTACACACACACGCGACCGCGGGCGGGGAAACTGCACTGACCAAACATCGACATTTGCCACGGGCTACAGACGGCTACCAGCTTTCCTTCCAGAATAATCTTCTCAGGGTTCAGAAACACTCCTGAGGGGGCGGGTCCCGATCCTGCGACTCCAGGGCTCTTCAAGATTCTGATCTGCTTTCCTGGCCGGGGTGGGAAGGGGGGATAGGAGGGGTTGGGAGCGCCCTACGGTGCCACCGGCTGGCAGCTTCAGGCAGAGGTGAAAATAGCGCACAATTACTAGACCACCGCCATGGCAGTGCCCTCTCCCTTGGTCCTACATGGAACGGCCCTGCCGGTACTGCTGTGATGCCCAGCTGAGATCTGACCTGTATTTGTGGGGGAAAGAAAACTGTCCGGAAGCCTAAAAAGGAATTCCACCCCCCCCCCAAAAAAAACAACCACCACCTCTAAATGAGTTTTGTTCCAGGAGGACTCAAGATGTCATGCCTTCCTGTCAGAAATGAGGAAGACACACACCCCCGTCCTGCCCATCCCCTCCCCACTAAATTTCTCCTTCAGCCCAAGATCAATTCCTGTGTGTGAACAGAAGCATACATTTAGCCAGCCCCGTCAGCCTTCCTTCTTTTCTTCGCTGTTCTTCTGTGAGTCCAACGATCAAAGGGCGGCGGTAGGACTCTGGTCAGGAGACAAGGAAGGAGCCGGAGCCGTGGAACGGATCCAGAGGGCCAGAAGGAACTGGCGTCCGCCTTCCCCCAATCCCCCCCCCCGTGGATTAATATATTAATTATTTAAAAGCAACACTAGGCAGGTCCTATTACTATAGAAAAAGCGTGCGTGTGGATTTTGGTGTGCTTGCGAGTAGAAGAGAATGGAACTTATTGGGCGCATGTCGCTGGGGGGAGAGGAACCTCACGCCTCCCCCTCTGCGTGTGTGTGTGTGCGTGCGCATGCAATTGTGAATGTGTTGGCACATGATCTGGCATGCTGTAACGGCGTGCTCTTCTCAGCGTTACTAACCACATAACATCATGGGGTGCCGAATTTTTATGTCCACAATGGCCCACGCCCGATACCACAGAAAAACCGCCGTGTGCAATCAATGGCTCATGAGCCATTGCACGTGCTCCGTCGCGCATCACGTTTTTACAATCACGCATGCCGTTAAACACAGACAGTCGCAAATGTGTGTGCGCAGTAGCTGCATAGGCAGAATTGTGTTACCTTCGTGAGGGTGTGAGTGCGTGCCCATGCAAATCTCATTAAGGGCATGTCTTTTTGTGCAGGTATGCGCGATGTATCTGAGAAGTAGTTTCTAGGAGGGTGGTTTGGGGTTTCTGTGTGCACAAGGCCAGGACGGGTGATTCCTGGGAGGAGCAGCACAAGGTTGTGTGCGAATTTGTGTATTTTGTGGTTGGCCTTCCAAACGTGTGTTGTTTAGCGTGAAGCCAATTCCCTCCCCCACAAAAAAAGTCTGTTCTCAGCTCCCTCCTATTTAGTTTTTCTGTGCCACGATATATATTTTTTTGAAATCTTAACTTTCCACTGTCCATCCAAATGACCGCTGAAAATTCCCAGCCAGTAGCATAACGGGTAAAGAAAAGAGAGAGAGACAGAAGACCTTTAGTGATGAATGGATTTTTAAAACAATAAAAGAATCCTTTTAAAAAACGGAAAATAGTTCTCTTTCTCCATTTGCGTCAACATGGGAAACAGTTTTGAGATAGCTAGGTGAGCTTTGTGCGGTGAGAAGGCAGGGACAATCCAGACATTTGTATCTATACGTGAGGTGTCTCGCAAGCACCTCGAAAGAAGAACACGGCTCGCCTCTCTACCCTCCGCACCCTTGGACTTTATTCTGTCTCCCTCCTCTTTAAAAACTGGAACACATAGACTTTCCCCTTTCGTCCCGGCAATCTGATCTGGATGCAATCCAGCGACAAACGTGCTGGACTGAAACTCAAGAGATCTGAGCACAGAGTCCAAACTGCTAGGAAACTGCCCGATGACCTTGGGCACGTCTCATGTGCCTCAGTTTTCCCCGTCTGTAAAATGGAGTACTAATAACCTGCTTCAGAGGGCGCTCATGCAGATCAAAGACCACAAAGCACTATCCACGTTGAGAGAATGCTGCCTCAGTGCTGAATGGCGGACCAGTGTAGGGGAAATGCTGTTTATTTGGTGTATTAAAAAAGAAATCCACTTTCCTGGAAGGAGGTGTGTTTTTGCTTAAGTTCTCTCCTCTGTTGGACCCGCACAACAGCCCTGGAAGGTAGGGGAGGCTCCGGGGCAGTGAGGCTCTATGTTCTTGGTGCTTGGGGGGGCAATACTTGCAGGGCTTCTGGAGTTCTGGCCCCGCTGGTGGACCTCCTGAGTGAGAAAATGCTGCCTCAGTGCTGAATGGAGGACCAGTGTGGGGGAAATGCTGTTTATTTGGTGCATTAAAAAAGAAATCCACCTTCCTGGGAGGAGCTGCGTTTTTGCTTAAGTTCCCGTTATGTTATGTTATGTTATATTATGTTAATGACACAGTTATCGTCTCATGTCTCTTCCAAAACAAACTTGCCAAAAAACAAAACAAAACGCCACAACCTCTATCACACAGTGGAAGGCTGCTCTTTCTTTTTAGTCTGACCTGGATAGCCCAGGCCAGCCTGATCTTGACAGATCTCAGAAGCTAAGCAGGATCGGCCCTGGTTAGTATTTGGATGGGAGACCACCAAGGAAGTCCAGGGTCTCTGTGCAGATGCAGGGGCCACTGGCCTGATCTAACATTGGCTTCCGTTATGATATGTTCTATTACGTTAATGACACGGTTATCGTCTCATGTCTCTTCCAACACAAGCTTGCCGAAGAACAAAACAAAACGCCACAACCTCTATCGCACAGCGGAAGGCCGCTCTGTCTTTTTAGTTTGACCTGGATAGCTCAGGCTAGCCCAATCTCGTCAGATCTCGGAAGCTAAGCAGGATCGGCCCCGGTTAGTATTTGGATGGGAGACCACCAAGGAAGTCCAGGGTCTCTGTGCAGAGGCAGGCAATGGCCAACCACTCTGTTCGTCTCTCGCCTTGGAAACCCCTACAGCAGTGATGGCGAACCGTTTAGAGACCGAGTGCCCAAACTGCGACCCAAAACCCACTTCTTGATCGCAAAGTGCCAACACGGCACTTTAACCTGAATACCGAGGTTCTACTTTAGAAAAAACAACCCATACATTAACTTAAGATGATCCAAACAAAGTAAGGAACGCAATCCCAAATGCTTTCATCTACTTAAAATTATTTGGCAGAGAATTCGACACTTTAATGATGGTCTGGGCCTGGCTGGGGCGATGGCACGCTTGCCCACAGAGAGGGCTCTGAGTGCCACCTCTGGCACCCGTGCCATAGGTTCGCCACCACTGCCCTACGGGGTCGCCACAATTCAGCTGGGTGACTTCACAGCACACGAACGCGCACACACAGAGGGGCAGCTGTGAAATTGGACAAGCGTTGCCAAATCTCAACGCCAGGTGGCACTAAGGGACAACAAGCTCAGTCACCTTAAACCTCAAGGGCTGAGGAATGTGAGCTAGAAATAAATTTCCTGTGAAAAACAAAGAGATACAGGGACCGAAGCAGCGCTCCCTCTAAGCTGCGGAGTCGTGTGAGCAAAAATTCTACTTTGTGCGCTCCTGGCATTCGAGTTGTGAGCGAGCCATTTGGTTAGTGAATACATTCAGGGCCAGCTCACTCACTAGGAGATCGCCTAGAGCAGGATGGCCCTTAGGGGCACCAAACTGCACCCAGCCCCGTACTCTGGGAGTTTCTTGATTATTTGTGTTTTTTATTCTTCCTAAAACATGTATTTTTGAAAATGGGTGGGCGCAGGGGGAGGGCATAAGGGATCCTCGCCCAGGGTG